AGTTGTATGGTTTAATATTGTACAATTAAGTCTCTGATCAATTTGAAAATTATCCTGGCACATAGTGTGAGGAACAGATCAATTTTCATTTTCCATATGGCTATCCAGTTATCCCAATACTACTCACTTTTATAGTCCATCTTTTCCCCCCACTGACTTAAGGCACCACCTTTTATTTTATTTTTTATTGAAGTATAGTTGATTTAAAATATTATATTTCAGGTGTACAGCACAGTGATATTATTTTTATAGATTATATTCCATTTAAAGTTATTATAAAATAAGGGCTATACTTCCCTGTGCTGTACAATATATCCTTGTTGCTTATCTATTTTATAGATAGTAATTTGTATCTCTTAATCCCCTACCCCTATTGTGCCCCTTCCCACTTCCCTCTCCCCACTGGTATCCATTAGTTTGTTTTCTATATCCGTGAGTCTGTTTATTTTGTTATATACATTTATTAATTTTTTCAGATGCCACGTCTAAGTGATAACATACAATATTTGTCTCTAACTTATTTCACTAAGCATAATACTCTCTAGGTCCATCCACATTTTTGCAAATGGCAGAATTTCATTCCTTTTCATGGCTGAGTAACACTCCATTGTGTATATATAGAGAGCTATAGATATAGATTTATGCTACATTTTCTTTATCCATTCATCTGAATCCATTTCATCTGAATGGATGAAATGGATTCATCTTCATCCATTCAACACAATGGATCCATCCATTGATGGATCCTTGTGTTGCTTCCACATCTTGGCTATTGTAAATAATGCTGCCATGAACTTTGGGGTGCATGTATCTTTTCAAATTAGTGTTTTCAGTTTTTTTGGATATATACCTAAAGTGGAATTGCTGTGTCATATGCTAGATCTATATTTAGTTTTTTGAGAAACCTCCATACTGTTTTCCACAGTGGCTGCACCAATTTACATTCCCACCAACAGTGTACGAGAGTTCCCTTTTCTCCACATCCTCACCAACATTTGTTATTTTTGATGATAGCCATTCTGACAGGTGTGTGGTGATATCTCACTGTGATTTTAATTTGCATTTCTCTGATGATTAACGATGTTGAGCATCTTTTCATGTTGGTCAGCTATATGTCTTCTTTGGAAAATGTCTTTGGCCCTTCTTTTATTTTAGTTGCAGTATGGGGGATCTTTTTTTTTTTTTTTTGGTTGCGACATGTGGGGTTGCAGCATGCGAACTCCTAGTTGCGGCATGTGGGATCTAGTTCCCTGACCAGGGATCGAACCCTGCATTGGGAGTGTGAAGTCGTAGTAACTGGACCACCAGGGAAGTCCCCAGCCCATTTTTTAACTTGGGTTGTGTGTTTTGGGTTTTTTTTTTTGCGGTACGCGGTCCTCTCACTGCTGTGGCCCCTCCCGTTGCGGAGCACAGGCTCCACACGTGCAGGCTCAGCGGCCATGGCTCACGAGCCTAGCCGCTCCGCGGCATGCGGGATCCTCCCGGACCGGGGCATGAACCCGTATCCCCCGCATTGGCAGGCGGATCCTCAACCACTGCGCCACCAGGGAAGCCCTGGGTTGTGTGTTTTTTTATGGTGAGTTGTAGAGCTGTTTTACATATTTTGGATATTAACTCTATCGGTCACCTCATTTGCAAATATTTTCTCCCACTCAGTAGGTTGTCTTTTCATATTTCTGATGGGTTTCCTTTGCTGTGCAAAAGCTTCTAAATTTAATTATGTCCCACTTGTTTATTTTTGCTTTTATTTATTTTGCCTTAGGGGACACATCCAAAAAAATATTGGTACGATTTATGTCAAAGAGTGTTCTGCTCATTTTCTCTTCTAGGAGTTTTATGGCTTCAGGTCTTACATTCCAGTCTTTAATCTACCTTGAGTTTATTTTTGTATGGTGTGAGGAAATGTTCTAATCTTATTGTTTTACATGTAGCTATCTAGTTTCCCAGCGCCACTTATTGAAGAAACTGTCTTTTCTCCATTGTATATCCCTGCCTCCTTTGTGGTAGATTAAACGACCTTAGTTATGTGGGTTTATTTTTGGGTTGTCTATTCTGTTCCACTGATTTATGTATCTGTTTTTGAACTAACCACCTTTATTGTACCTTGAATTTTCATATGCATTTGGGTCTATTTCTGAATTTTCTATTGTGTTCCACTGGTCTATGCACATGCCTATACCTCATTTTCAGTTTTTGAGACTTTATGTTTTAATACCCTCCCTTCCCAAATGCTCTTTTTTAAGGGTTTTCTTGGGTTAGTCTTGCACGCTTGTTCTTCCAAATGAACTTTATAATTAACATACCTAGCTCCAGAAAGAGCTAGACATTTCCAGCATTTTCAGTGGATCACACAAAATCTTTCTACAAAGAACATACAGTCTCAGCTTTTAAAGTATTGACTAGATTTGTCTAATGTTACAGGACTAACCAAGCTTTCTATTTCTCCCAACTGAGTTTTGGTAAATCATATCTTTCTAGATATCTGTCCATTTTGTCTAAGCTTTCAAATTTATTGGCTAAAGTTGTTCATAGCACTACCTTATTAACTTTTAAATCTCTAAATCTATAATTATATACCCCTTTGATTCCTAATATTTTTGTGCCTTCCCTAGTTTTTCTTAATTAATGATGTTAGAGATTTGCTTATATTATTTGTCTTAATTTCTGGCTTTGTTGATCTCTCAATTACATGTTCATTTTCTATAGCATTAAGTTCTGATCTCACTTTTATTACTTTTGACTTCTCTATTATTCTTTTCTAGAAGAATAATGTTCTTCTAGTAAGTGTAAATGTAGAATGCTTACCCCATAAATTTTCAGTCCTTTCTTCTTCTCTAACTCAAAACATTTCAGACCATAAATTTTCCTCTAACTATCCCTTTAGCTGTATCTGAAGAGTGTTAATGCATAGGATTTTTATATAATTAGTTATAAGTATTTTCTTTTCTTTTTTTTTTTTTTTTGCGGTACGCGGGCCTCTCACTGTTGTGGCCTCTCCCGCTGCGGAGCATAGGCTCCGGACGCGCAGGCTCAGCGGCCATGGCTCACGGGCCCAGCCGCTCCGTGGCATGTGGGATCTTCCCAGACCGGGGCACGAACCTGTGTCCCCTGCATCGGCAGACAGACTCTCAACCACTGCGCCACCAGGGAAGCCCAGTTATAAGTATTTTCTAATACCCATTAGGATTTTTTCATTGATTCATTGGTTATGTTATTAAATTTCTAAATGCATTAGAAAATCACACATCCCCCCCTTTTGGCTATTGTCTTTTAAATTTACTTTCGTTGTGATTAGAGTGTGATCTATGTGACTCTAATCTTTGGAATTTACTAAGGTTTGCTTTATGGCCTAAGAGTCAATTTTTATAAATGTTCAATCTGTGCTTGAAAATGATGTGTAGTTCTTCATATTCTTGGGTGTGATTCCATTCATGTCTATTACACTAAGCGTATTTGTTATTTAAATATGCTATATTCATAACCATTTCTGTCCACTTGTTATATCAATTACTGAAAGAGTATATTTTAAACTTAGTTCTGCTTATGTATATTGAGGCTATATTATTAAGATTAGTTGAGAATTAGTATATCCCCCTGACAAATTGAACCATTTATCAGTAATTGAACCAATGTTTATTATTTTGTAGAGATTATCCTTACTTCCTCTGATATGTGCCTCGTATATTTTTTCCTTTTCCTTTTCAATCTTTCTTTAAAGTTTTAGATATGTCTCTTATAAAGAGCATATAGCTGGATTTTAAAAATCCAGTATTACAGGCTTTATCTTTCAACTGGAGTAATTCATTTACACTTTACTACTATATTTGAATCCTTTTACCATCTTATTGTATACTTTTTATTTTTCTTAACTTTCTAATTTATTTTCTTATCATTCATTTTATCCATTATTAGTTTAAATGCTATATTCTTTATATTTATTCTTTTAAAAGTTACTCCAAATATTTTAACAGATCTACTTACCTAAAGTCCCTAACAAATAAGACTCTTTACTCTCCTCTTGAAAAATTAAAGGGCGGTAGGACATGTTAACTCTCATCAACCCCTTTCAAAAGTATATGCTTTTGTTGCCTGGTGTTTTGAAGCCTCTCTTTGACTTCTTGAAATATATTTAAAACATGTGTAACATGTTTATATTCTGTGCTAATAAGTACAATATCTAAGTTATTTGTGAGTCTGATTCTCCTGTATGTTGTTTCTGATGACTTGCACTCATGGTACTCATTTCCTTCTTTGGTTTGTGGTTTTTAACTGTGAGCTACCCATATTCTTTGTAACTTTATCTGTGGGAATTCTTTGATACCTAGATTAAAGTTTCATTCCTCCAGAGAGAATGTGTTTGCTTCTGCCATTCATTTGGGGTTACCACCTACCTGGGTCCATTGTAAATTAAATTCCCACTTGCAGTATTTTGGACCACACGAGTAGTATAAATTTGGGCCATAAACCTCTATAAGGGGCAACTTGTTAAAAATTTTTAGGTTAAAATAAAAGCTTTTCCTCCATCCAGGGCCAAGGTCAAGAAAGGCATGTTCCCTTGCTGTTATTTCTGCTTGGTGGGTTTATTTAGTATCTACCCTTCCACTGTAAGTGTAGCACTTTGAGGGTCCTCGCTCTGTGGGAGACCTCAGATCTCCCTGCCTTGAGCAGACCCTGCTTTACCTCCTGCACGCAGCATCACAGTCATCGTGACAGAGACTCAAGGAGACCAGCTCTCAGCAGATACCTTCAGGGTGAAAGCTGGCTTTCATCTTACTTGCCTCCCATGTTTCGAGCTTTCACATCCCTTTTTGACCTCTACAGATTCTTTCATTTCTTTCCACTGCTTTGTGCATTTAGAAAGATGTTTTTTCACCCTCAGTGATCAATGATAAAACTAAACCCAAAAGTAAAAGTATTCAGTAAGTTATCAGGATAAAAAATTAGCATATAAAAATCAACAGCCTTCACATATAAGAACAATAACAAAGTAGAAGACATAATGGCAGAGAAAACCCCATTTACTAGCAACAAAGATTAAATACTTAGGGATAAACTTAACAAGAAACACAAACCTATACAAAGAAAATTTTAAAACAGTCTTTAAAAGGCACAAAAATAGACTTGAACAGTAGAAATACATCCCCTGTTCTTGGATAGGATGACTCAACATTGTAAAGATGCCATTTTTCTCTAAGTTAGTTAATAAATGTAATACGATCTCAATAAAAATATCAACACACTTTTTTAAAATGGAGTTACGCCGGTTGACACTAAAGTTTATATAGAAAAACAAACATGTAAGAATAGCCAGAAAAACGCTGAAAAAGAAAAATTATGAGGGGACTAGCTCTCCCAGACATTAAAACATACTGTGTTTAAGGAATTCATCTCTCCCCAGTAGAAGCTAAACGTTCCAGATAACCTCATTCTCACTTCCTGCAGTTAGGATATAGGCACCTGACAATCAGATCCACCTATCCCAGATTTTAAATCAGAAACTAGTGATGTAAAGAAGCCAGAAACACACAGTCCCTTATGGTGAGGGTGGAGCCCCTACACAGAGTTCCAAAGGCAGCATGCAGTGATGTGGAAAATCAAGTTCCACTTTATTAGTGGGGAGAATGCCTGAGACTCCAACGAAGTTTTCTGATAAAGTAAGCTCCAACATGGCACCCAAGGTCAAAAAGAGGTGAGGAAATGGGTCTGTCTCTCCCCTAAACTCAAACTAAAATCTTACCAACAGCAGCAAGTAAAAAAACTGAAGCAAGTACTACATGGCGGGTAGCCTTCTTATATGTAGAAGTGGGCCCAGGCCTCCTTACCAGCCCAAGACCCTGGAAAGGAGAAAGCAGAAAAGGGACCACAGTTCAGCCTGACTCTTCATGAAGAACAATTCCACCCACTTAGCAAATAGGGGCTATCCATCATAGAAACTGACTAGTGTGGTTAGCAATTCTTCCGACTTCAGTGGGCTTGAAGGAGGAGCAAAGAGAAGTGAGGAAAGGAGCAGACACCTTGAGTTGGCTTTCCTAGTTTACGGTAATCATCAATGAATGGAAATGCTTCACTCCAATCTGTGCTTTAAGCCAGCACATTAAGGGGGCATGGCAAAGGAACTCACTAGCACATGGGTATTGATGAAGTAACGGAGGGGAGGGCAGAGGCAGACATTCAGTCTGCATTGGACTGACCTACTGACCACTCTGCCTGAGAGGCTGAGAAAGCAGGAGAAAGATCAGGAGAGCAGGGTCAGAAGAGTCAGAATTCCAGAAAGGAAGCAGTTATATGGTATCAAGACATAAAGATCAACCTAAGGACTAAATTTGGGCAACCAGAAGTCACTGGTGAACCGAGCGACAACAATCTTAATGGCGGCGAGGGTAGCGGCCAGGTTTTAGCGTGTCAGCTCTCAGCCTCGGCTGCACGTTGGCTGCATGTCTTTGCTTTAAAAAGACTGTCCCACTACCCCATTCTCCTGTAATTGGCTTGTGGTTCAGTCAAGGGAATTAGGGTTTTAAAAAATCTCCCCAGATGATCCTAGTGTGCAGCCAGGGTTAAAAACTACTGCTTCAGTGAATTGAGAATTAATAGACAAAGTACAGGAAAGAACAGTATTTAGTGCGAGTCAAGGGGTTCAAAGGGTTGAGGAAAGGCATTTTTGTTTGAACAGGGAGTCTTTGAATGTGTTTAAATGCAAAGCCATATGTGTCAGGAGTGAGAAGCTGTATTGAGCAAGGCATCTGATCAAGGGAGAGGACCTTGAGTGTAAGAGAAGGGATTTGTTAGGGGGAGGACAGGAATTTCCAAGACAAAGAGGTGAGGAAGGGTGTATGTGAAGGTGTGTAAGCAGAGTTTCCCCATCTAATGCTCTATTATCTGTTAGGGGAGAGGTGAGATTAGCTGCTGGGGTTGAGAGAAGGTGGGGACTGAAAGGGTTTAAAATGGCCAGTTTGCAATAGCTGCTGACAATAGGTGGGAGGTTGAGCGAGATAAATATTTAGAGCAATTCAAATTGTCACCATGATTTTGGGGTAGCAGATTTTCATGGAGAAATACATGGCCCACTGGGGGGAGCAAGGTGTAGAATCTATGTAGTGAAACGGGTTGATTTAAGTCAGTCACCAAGGCTACTTATAAGTTCTCTGATATTTTCTTCCCTTTTTCAGTTAAACATTTGAATGTTTAACTGCAGGGGTCAGAACTCACTTCTAGCGAAAGAAAACATTATTTTCATAATTTACATCTTAAAATTTTTTATATTCCCACACCTTGATAATATCTAGTAACGCTAACATTTTTGGCCAGAAGTACTTTTAAATGGTTTTCAAGACGGAAAAGAAAAATTATGTGGTGCTTAAAAGACTACAAAAATTGAAAGGAGAGCTAAACAGTCTATACATGTGTATTAATCATGTTTTATATTTCCAATATATTATGATGTTTTGACATCTTAAAAAAACTTTCTGGATGGGGAAAGATGACCCGTCTCAGGGCTGGCCGGTTCTTAGAGACTGCAAAGGACTCAGCCTGCAGCATGCTTTTGATGTGCAAATTAACCACGTCTGATGGAGCCACACCTCCTCCATCTGGCCTGCACACCCCAGGACACAGTCATCCCAGGGCCAGGCACCAGGCAACTGGAGCCCACACTGTAGCCCTAAGGCCCTGGAATTATTCACTAGCCATGCCTAAACTGCTCTCCCTGCCCTGCTTTGCCTTTCCCAAGAAAATCCTGATCATGGCTCTGGCCTAGACATATCACTTGTTCCCGTCTTCTGCCTCCTGACCCAAACTTGGTGTTTGTCCTGTGGCCCTGCATGGCAAACCGTACCTCCTGTTTCTATGGGAACTGTAACATTAGACTTTTCTTTCAATGACACTGACCTTTCCGCATCATCAGTCACCTTTATAAATAAAAATCCAGGCACGAAACATGAGCATCTGAGGAAATGATACTAGAGAACTCCTCCGTAGCCACACATATTCCCAGAAAGAGAAATTTGGTTCATAGGCTTTAGTAATAAAGTAGGGCCTACGCCAATTCACACAAATAAAATCTAAAGAAAAAATGACCATACCACCACTTCAAAGCTTTAACATTAGAGTACTGTCTTCTGAAACACTGAATTGTAAGTCAGACGATGAAAAAATATAACATGTTGTTACTACTGGTTCCCAACCCCTGCGGAATCACTAGCTGAAAATGTAAAACAAAGACAGTAAGGTATGATTAAGGGGGATCACTGAAAATTGATTTTTACATGCTCTGAAGTACTGAGATTAATTCCCAGCAAAAGATTACCAATAATTCAACAGGTATTTATTACACAATAGCTATGTACTCAGGGTGTTTTTTTCTTCCAATGACTTTTTTCATTTTTGTGAGTCATACTTTAAAGACTTCATCATTATGAAAATATATGACATTTTCCCATGAAACTAAGATGTAATGAACAGGTATCATAAAATCATGGATGGCAGTATCTTACACAAATGTTTTACTGTCGGTTATGAAAATCAATGATCACTCACAGACTAAAAATCCATTGTTATACTTTAATCCACTTTTAAAAGGTTGTTTCTATCCATCTAAAAATGGCCTCAATGGCATTTTTCTCCACATCATCCTTTCTCAATATTTCCAGGAGATCTTTCAGGAACTTGAGGGAAAAAGTATGGGAAATAAAGACATTTAACAGTTTCTGCAAAGAACCATACACAAAACATCTCCATACTTATGGAGGAAAGTATAAGAGCACCTCAGAGCTTGGGGGGGGACACCAGTATATTAAAACACTCCTTTTTAACTGTGGCAAAGCCTGCGGTTCTTAAACATCATTGTGCATCGTTCTTAAACATCAAGTCCCCTGGAGGGCTGGTAAAAGACTCCTGGGCCTTACCCTCAGAGTTTCTGATTCAGCAGATCTGGAGGGGGGTAGAATGTATGCATGCTGTTGATCTCGGGGCCCTAGCAGCCCTGCTCTAAGCATCTCCTTCTCTTCCCCTTTCCCCTTGCCTTCCCAGTCTGAACCTTGCCAAGATTCCTTTCCTTGGTGAACATCTTCAGGATCTGCCCCATTCTTCAATACTGTGCTTGGAAAATTTTTTTTCCCCCACATTTGACAATTTTACCAAGTGCAGTGCAGGGCAGTGGCAGGAAAACAACTTCTTTTGGCCATAAGTTTGTTTTGCTGGGCTTGTTAAAAACCTTCTAATCCACACTCTTCGGCAAGATCACTCAATTTCCTTTGTTTCTTTTCCATGTTGCTATTTCCAGGCATTTGATGTTCATCTGTTTCGTGATCTTGATGTTCATCTGTTTCGTGATCTTAACGAAAGCATGTGTGGGCCACTTGTGTTTAGTGCTAATAGCAGAACCCACCAATTTCCTCACCTTTTTTCCTCTGTGCCAGTTTTCTCATGGGGTAGGAACCCAACCTGATTGCTGTCACTATCAGTAACTACACTGTCACAACTGGAGAGGGAGATAAGGAAATACTGACACGTAAAATGGGCAGCTGAAACATTAGCAAAGGAAGCAGCTGACAGCAAGAGCAAACCGCTTCTGCCACCCCTCCCACCGTCCCATGAACCATGATACAACCTATAAGCTATGTCCCCCACTAGACGGTATCCACTGCTGCTACAGAAAGCCACTCTGTTCTCATCCCAGCTCAGATAAGGTTCACCAAATATACAGAACGCTGAATACGGCTAATGCTGTATTTTTACACAGCTTAATCCCCAGGAAATAAAAAAGCTTGTGGCTCAGAATCATGGTAGTGAAGCCAAAATAAAGCAAAGGCTTGAAATGAATCAGGCATCACCAGGAGCCTTTTCCTGGAGCCGAAGTGGAGAACCCATCACACCAGCAATGACAGTGCCACCTAGCTCCTTCCTCACGTGACACTCTGAGACTCGTTCACCTCTAAATGACTTACTGCTATGATAACTCTGCTCCTGTACTTTTAGCATCAGAACTTGCTATGCTGTGATCTAGACTGCATTTCTGGTTCCAAAGTAGAGATATGTCAGATTCACCTATTTGGGATTCACAAGTAGTTTAAATTACCTCTCCTAGGTATTGAGCTTTACTTAGCAAAGGATGCCATAAGCATCACAGATTAAGAAGCTTTATTTCAGCTTTTGGTCATTTTGCTGCCAAAATGGCCTCATTTGCAGCCTGTTTCTATAGCCCAGCACAACTCTGTCATCTGAAATTTCCAATTGCATTTGATTTCTAAAGAATTCAAGGCTAAATGAGGCCTATTTATCGAGAACACACCACTCAAAAAAGATCATACTCTGCCCCTCCAAACTTGGCACCATGTAAACAGCTACTAATTTCCTCTTCTGAACAGTTCTTACCAAAAAGCAACACAAGTTTTGATGCAAATGAAGTTGTTCCCTTTATAATACTGCACCTGAAAAATAATCTCAAATTCCCTTAAACCGGTAAGCAAAACTATCCTTTATGAATGATGCTCATGCAAGTACATAATGTTTTCGCCCATTGTGAAAAATACCCAAGATTAGGATTTAGACAAGCAGACTGGACAGCAAGCTGGGATAAATCAGAATTCTGAAATTAGGAAGAACTGTGGAACTCTGCTTCGGTTATTACTTTTGAGCAGATCAAATCATTGAGCTCAATGATTATCCTCAAAAGAAGTCAAGCTATAATTTTTTTTCAACAGATTTCAAAACCCGATTTTGAAATTATACCTTTTGTTGAAAGGTAACGGATTTCTCTTAATTTATGACATTATACACTTTGCCATATAAAAAGGATATTTAAAATTTAAGATTCAAAATACACTTGATTCTAAGAGTATTCCTCTGGAATTGACTCATAAAAAACAAGCAGAATAAGTCGGTGAATAATTCTGTGAGCATGCTCATGCAGCAGCTTAAAATAAGGAGCACAATTTACAACCCTGTATTGGAAAAATATTTGTGTGCTTAATGGCTATTCTCTTAGGCAATTAATTTTCTCTCCTAGTTATTACAGATATGGCATTTTGGGTTGCTCCCCGTTGAAAGTATTCAAAATATGTAGGAAAGCTTGATCAAGAAAGGTGATAAACATTCTGTTTATCTGGCATACTGTTTCAAAAATATGAGTCTCAGAGTGACTCAGGTCTATCAGTGACAACCCAAAGATTATAACCCAGGGCCAAGAAAGTCTGTAAGTCTGGGATTTTAGTCTTGACTTGATTATGAGATTTGGGGCAAGTCACTAAGACTGTTCTTGACTCTATAAAATGGTAGCAATCAACTACCTTTACATCATAGATGTTTAAAAGGTAAATAAAGTTGTACATATAAGTGATTTTTAATCGCAGGTAGAAAGGAGAATTATTAGGCTACACGTCATGAAGAAAAAGATGCTACCCGAACTACAGAGGTCTTAACAGGCGATGATCACAGGACTGATCTCTGAATGAGCCATGGAGCTTAGTGCAAAGAAAATAAAATTATTATGTTCATGAATTTCTCCCTTAAATCCAACAAATTATGTTAGAAATGTGTGCCTCGGGACACTATTGGGACTAGGTAAGAATGCACATATTACAACAAAAAGATACCTTCATCACTACAACAACTGAGTAGAACCACTTTATATTCAACAGACATTATGTTTTCTATCCTGCTATGGGTGCAGCCACAGGAAGGGAAGCACACTCACTACTGCACAAGAATCTGGGTGGCTCCCAGGGATGCTGGGCTAGCTTTAGCGCTACTCCTCATGCCGTAATCTCCACCCGCCCCTCCCTCCACCATAGTCCTTGCTGTGGACAACTGCCATGTTCTCAGTCTTACATGAAGTACTATGTAAACTTAGCTTCCAGTACCCCTTTCCCACCAGAGTCACACCCACGCCACTGACAAGGACATTCTGGAGCTACCACTGATAAGGACAACAATTTTTAAAGGAATACGACAGAGCGGCCCACCATTAAATTGTGTGTGAGAAAGGACAACTGCGCTTCAGGGAAAGAAAGGAGGCTCTGTCCTAGCAGGTGCAGGGGTGGGAGTTCCTCTAGAATGTCACAAGAGCAGCGGACACTTGAGAATGGCTTCTGTGTATCTCAGAGTAAAAGCATTCAATTTGTACAAAAACGGGCCCTTCTGCCAACGAGGTCCCTCAACGACAGACAATCTTGATAATACTTTTTTAGAAAGGGTGGCTTTTCTTCACAAGCTCTAGGCAGTCACTTATTCCTCATTTTGACAAAGAAGCATCCAACTTGAGGCATGGCTGTATATATAACTCTTCATGCAGCTGAGCCGTCATAAACATACCAAGTATAAAGGCATGTCAAAAAGACATTTTTCCTCCCCAAAGTATGGCCTCAAAAAGCCATTATTATAATAGAGTATGAATTTCTGCTACAGGTTATTGACCTATAATACTAACAATAAAAGTCTCGTTTAGTACATAAAGGCTTACACCGCAACATGAAGTATTAAGACACAATCCACTGTTTTAAATTTGCTGTACACCTAAAGCACCTTCTTCATGACACCGATCTGTATGTGTATATATATAGGTCCTCTTTCAGTAGAACACAGACTTTGGAGATGAGGCAAAGTACAATGCAGCTGCTGGCGATTCCAATAGGACATCTAGAAAAATGGAGTAAGCTTCCAAGGCCCATGCTGCTGGTAGTCTTTTCTGAGGCTCCAAATTGAGTACTTGGTGGATTTATCTTATTGGCACTCTGCTTGAATCAAGACCAGGCTCAAAGTCCTGCAAACAATTCCACACACAGATCTTAAATCTGTGTTTAACTTTGTCTGGAACTGGCTGCAAATTTGGAACTTCCTCAAATGGTATTAAAAGCTCTACACAAAAAATATGCAAAAGCAGTTACTAGTTCTTCAAGAAAAAAGACATACCTGCAAAACAGCAACAGCTCTGTAAACAGAGCTGTAGGTAACTGTTGGGACAGCAATAGCAATGTAACAAATATAGCATAGGATGACCTTTTTTAAAAAAATTGCTGTCCTAATATTTTACAATTAAAAAAAAAAGATTTTCACAATATGATTTTCTAAGAGAAAGAGTCCACTTCTTTGAAGAGGAGTCAGTCCTGGTGGCGAAAGGACTGGGAATGTCAATTAAGATATGCAAGACAATATAATACAAAGTCTAATATTTGTTTCAGCAACATCTAGTCGGCTCTTGGTGGGTGAAATTCTGCTGTCTAGCTGTATCCAGGGCTCTTTTCTTGTGGCATTTTAAAAAATGTAGCTGCAGTTGAGTCAGTGGTTTTCTCTGCAGCAGAGGTCCTGACCAACCACTCAGAGTTCGGAGATTTGGGGGCCTGTGATGCTGGTATGGTTGGCTCCACTGCATCCATGTGAACTGGTAAGGGTGTTACAATAAAAGTAAGGAGGAAAAAAGTCAAAAGGAGACAAATTAGAATGAGAGAGATGTCAACACAAAACTTTCTTAATTCTTATACTTTATGTCCTATTAAACCAAGTGGCCACATAAAGTTTCTTTTTTTTTAAACCAAAAAATAAAGGCAAGATTTAAGTAAGATAAGTATTGTATTTCTCCACCTCAGAAAATGGGTTTAACTGAACAAATGAGTAAATCCAGTAGTACAAATTCATAATGTAGTAATAATCACTTACTAAGCATTTATGTGCCAGGCACTGTACCGTGTAAACAACGTATACTATAACCTTACTTCTTAATGCAAACTCTTAGAAGGAGGTATCGTCATCTCCATTTCCTGGATCAGAAAACTGAGGCATAGAGAAAGCAGATAATTTGTTCAGGGACACAACCGGGCTGGTTAAGTAGCAAGACTCAAACTCATATACTGGACTCTAAGCCCTCTGCTCTTTCTACAACATCTTATGCCTCCAATATGACAGTGTCACCAATAAATAATGAATAATAAGGCAAATGGTAGAAAAATCACACACCAAGCCCATGGTTTTTCAACAAGCACATTAAGACATTCTGGACAGGATAATCATTGCTTGTGCAGGGCTGTCCTATTTTTTTTAGGACACTTACCATTCTGGACCCTGTCCCTGAATGCCAAAAGCATTCCCCAGTCATTGTGACAACCAAACTGTCCTCACATTTCCAAATGCCCCCTGAGCAGAGCAGTACAAACCACCATCATACCCCACTGTTGAAAACAAATATATACACTAAAATAGAGCAAAATCTTAAAAAGTTTTGCTTTTATCCTGTTACAATAATTCCATTCCCAGGAATATAACCTAGAAAAGTAATTTTCAAATTATGTGTCACAAAATCAATGTAGTGGGTCATGACCAATACTTTTTTTTTCTTAATGAAAAAGATTAGATTATATCATAGTGCACCCAAGGGTTTATTTCAGATTTACAGGTACACCCAACATTCAAACATAAATTTCAGAAAGAAAAAAAAAAAAACCTCGAAAGCTATTAACTCCATGGCACATATACAAGAGTTTTAAGAGGGTAGTGGCTTTCAAACATTTTGGAACCTCAACCATAGCAGCAAGAAATACATCTGACATCAACACCCAAATCTCTCTCTCTCTCTCTATTTCTCACACACATGTGCTCATTCACTCCTATTTAAGTGAAAATAAATTTCATAAAACTATAACTACCATTACTAGATGCTCATCAACCATGGTGAAAAAACTGTCCTAGATTCTTGGCTTGTTACCTTTTTGAGGAGTCCTATCCAAAGAAGAGGAATTAGACTATGGAAATTGTGCCATCTGCTTCTCTGGATACATTTCCTTCAGAAAATGAGAACTTTCTTTGTGATCTCATGGACACAGCAGTTACAAAGAAACCTTGCTCCTTAGAAATTGCAAGCCCCTTCTCCAAAAACTGGGTCTTGGTGCTCCAGCCGGGTGTCAGGCCTGAGCCTCTGAGGTGGGAGAGCTGAGTTCAGGACAATGGTCCACCAGAGACCTCCCGGCCCCTTGTAATATCAATCGGCGAGAGCTCTCCCAGAGATCTCCGTCTCAACTCTAAGAACCAGCTCCACTCAACGACCAGCAAGCTCCAGTGCTGGATACCCCATGCCAAACAACTAGCAAGACAGGAACACAACCCCACCCATTAGCAAAGAGGCTGCCTAAAATCATAATAAGGTCACAAACACCTCAAAACACACGACCAGACACGGTCCTGCCCACCAGAAAGACAAGATCCAGCCTCATCCATCAGAACACAGGCACCAGTCCTCTCCAACAGGAAGCCTACACATCCCACGGAGCCAATATTACCCACTGGGGGCAGACACCAAAAACAATGGAAAATACAAACCTGCAGCCTGTGAAGAGGAGACCCCAAACACAGTAAGTTAAGCAAAGTGAGAAGACAGAGAAACACACAGCAGATGAAGGAGCAAGGTAAAAACCCACCAGACCAAACAAATGAAGAGGAAATAGGCAGTCTACCTCAAAAAGAATTCAGAGTAATGACAGTAAAGATGATAGAAAATCTTGAAAACAGAATGGAGAAAATAAAAGAAAGGTTTAACAAGGACCTAGAAGAACTAAAGAGCAAACAAACAATGATAAACAACACAATAAATGAAATTAAAAATTCTCTAGAAGAAATCAATAGCAGAATAACTGAGGCCAAAGAACGGATAAGTGACCTGGAAGATAAAATAGTGGAAATAACTACCGCAGAGGAGAATAAAGAAAAAAGAATGAAAAGAATTGAGGACAGTCTCAGAGACCTCTGGGACAACATTAAATGCACCAACATTTGAATTATAGGCGGTCCCAGAAGAAGAGAAAAAGAAAGGGACTGAGAAAATACTTGAAAAGATTATAGTTGAAAACTTCTCTAATATGGGAAAGGAAATAGTCAATCAAGTCCAGGAAGTGCAGAGAGTCCCATACAGGATAAACCCAAGGAGAAACATGCCAAGACACATATATATCAAACTATCAAAAATTAAATACAAAGAAAAAATATTAAAAGCAGCAAGGGAAAAACAACAAATAACATACAAGGGAATCCCCATAAGGTTAACAGCTGAACGTTCAGCAGAAACTCTGCAAGCCAGAAGGGAGTGGCAGGACATATTTAAAGTGATGAAAGGGAAAAACCTACAACCAAGATTACTCTACCCAGTAAGGATCTCATTCAGATTTGATGGAGAAATTAAAACCTTTACAGATACACAGAAGCTAAGAGAATTCAGCACCACCAAACCAGCTCTACAACAAATGCTAAAGGAACTTCTCTAGGCAGGAAACACAAGAGAATGGAAAGACCTACAATAACACCCAAAACAATTCAGAAAATGGTAACAGGAACATACATATCGATAATTACCTTAAATGTAAATGGATTAAATGTTCCAACTAAAAGACAAAGACTTGCTGAATGGATACAAAAACAAGACCCATATATACACTGTCTACAAGAAGCCCACTTCAGATCTAGGGACACATACAGACTGAAAATGAGAGGATGGAAAAAGATATTCCATGCAAATGGAAATCAAAAGAAAGCTAGGGGGCTTCCCTGGTGGCGCAGGGGCTGAGAGTCCGCCTGCCGATGCAGGGGACACAGGTTCGTGCCCCGGTCTGGGAAGATCCCACATGCCACGGAGCGGCTGGGCCCGTGAGCCATGGCCGCTGAGCCTACGTGTCCGGAGCCTGTGCTCCACAGCGGGAGAGGCCACAACAGTGAGAGGCCTGTGTACTGCAAAAAAAACAAAAACAAAAAAAAACAAACAAAAAAAAAGAAAGCTAGAGTAGCAATTCTCATATCAGACAAACTAGAGTTTAAAATAAAGACTATTACAAGAGACAAAGAAGAACACTACATAATGATCAAGGAATCAATCCAAGAAGAAGATATAAAAATTGTAAATATTTACGCACCCAACATAGGAGCACCTCAATACATAAGGCAAATGCTAACAGCCATAAAAGGGGAAAGCAACAGTAACACAATCACAGTAGGGGACTTTAACACCCCACTTTCACGAATGGGCAGATCATCCAAAATGAAAATAAATAATTAAACACAAGCTTTAAATGACACATTAAACAAGATGGACTTAATTGATATTTATAGGACGTTCCATCCAAAAACAGAATACACTTTCTTCTCAAGTGCTCATGGAGCATTCTCCAGGATAGATCATATCTTGGGTCACAAATCAAGCCTTGGTAAATTTAAGAAAATTGAAATCATATCAAGTATCTTTTCCGACCACAATGCTATGAGACTAGATATCAATTACAGGAAAAAAACTTTAAAAATGCAAACACAAGGAGGCTAAACAATACGCTACTAAATAACCAAGAGATGACTGAAGAAATCAAAGAGGAAATCAAAAAATTTAGAAACAAATGACAATGAAAACACGACAACCCAAAACCTATGGGATGCAGCAAAAGCAGTTCTAAGAGGGAAGTTTATAGCAACACAATCCTAAATCAAGAAACAAGAAACATCTCAAATAAACAACCTAACCTTACACCTAAAGCAATTAGAGAAAGAAGAACAAAAAAACCCCCAAGTTAGCAGAAGGAAAGAAATCATAAAGATCAGTTCAGAAATAAATGAAAAAGAAATGAAGGAAACGATAGCAAAGATCAATAAAACTAAAAGCTGGTTCTTTGAGAAGATAAAATTGATAAACCATTAGCCAGATTCATCAAGGAAAAAAGAGAAAAGACACAAATCAACAGAATTAGAAATGAAAAAGGAGAAGTACCAACTGACATGGCAGAAACACAAAGGTTCATGAGAGATTACTGCAAGCAACTCTATGACAAAGAAATGGACAACCTGGGAGAAATGGACAAATTCTTAGAAAAGCACAACTTTCCAAGACTGAACCAGGAAGAAATAGAAAATATAAACAGACCAATCACAAGCACTGAAATTGAAACTGTGATTAAAAATCTTCCAACAAAAAAAGTCCCAGGACCAGATGGCTTCACAGGCGAATTCTATCAAACATTTAGAGAAGAGCTAACACCTATCCTTCTCAAACTCTTCCAAAATATAGCAGAGGCAGGAACACTCCCAAACTCATTCTACGAGGCCACCATCACCTTGATACCAAAACCAGACACAGATGTCACAAAAAAAGAAAACTACAGGCCGCTAACACTGATGAACATAGATGTAAAAATCCTCAACAAAATACTAGCAAACAGAATCCAACAACACATTAAAAGGATCATACACCATGATCAAGTGGTGTTTATCCCAGGAATGCAAGGATTCTTCAATATACGCAAATCAATCAATGTGATAAACCATATTAACAAGCTGAAGGATAAAAACTATATGATCATCTCAATAGATGCAGAAAAAGCTTTCGACAAAATTCAACACCAACTTATGATAAAAACCCTG